TAGTTCTATCATGAAACATGGGATTTTTACTCAAATGTATTGCACTCTGATTGTCAGAATATAAAGTAGGACTAGTGTTCACAAAACCAAGTTCATTTAAAAGACCATTTAACCATATTCCTTCTTTGATGGCATCAGTAGCATCAATGTATTCTGCCTCAGTAGAGGATAAAGCAACAATTTTTTGTAACTGAGATTTCCAACTAACAACAGTACCACAGAAGGTAAAAAAGTAAGATGAAGTGGATCTCCTGTTGTCTCTATCTCCAGCAAAATCAGAATCAGTAAATCCTTTTAGTATTACCCCTTCTTTATTCATTTTAAATATTAATCCTATATCAGATGTTCCCTTTAAGTATTTCATCAACCATTTTACAGCTTCCCAGTGACTTTCACCAGGGTTGGCCATAAATCTACTCAAGACACTGATACTGTAGGCTAAGTCAGGTCTGGTACATATCATCAAATACATTATTGATCCTATAGCATTAGCATAAGGAATTCTTGACATTCTAGACAATTCATCTTCAGTTTTAGGACAAGCATCTGATGTAAGAATAAAATGATTCAAACATGTTAAATTTTTTCAAAACTTTATTCACATAGTTTTGTTGATTTAAGAACAGCGACCCTTTTTCTTTATTTCTAACAATTTGCATACCAAGAATCTTCTTGGCAGGGCCAAGATCTTTCATCTCAAATTCAGATTTAAGCTTTTGTTTAATATTTTCAATTTCAGATTTGCGGCTACTGGCAAGAAGCATATCATCAACATAGAGAATCAAGTAAAGAGAATTATTATTATCTTTACCTTTATGGTACAAACATGTGTCATAGCTACTTCTATTAAAGCCAAGTTTTAACACAAAAGAGTCAAAACGTTTATACCACTGTCTAGGAGCTTGTTTTAGCCCATACAAAGACCTTTTTAATAAACACACAGTTTTATTCCTACAGGTTGTCTCATATAGATCAATTCATCTAAATCACCATACAAGAAGCAGTTTTAACATCTAATTGATCTAATTCCCACTCAAATTGAGCAACCAAAGCAAGAATGCATCTAATAGTGGTATATTTAGCTACTGGGGAAAAAATCTCATCATAGTCAACCTCTTGTTTTTGGGTAAACCCTTTAGCAACAAGTCTGGCCTTGTACCTAACATTATTGTTGCCCTCCTCCCCATCTTTAATTTTATATATCCACTTGCAATCAACTAATTTCTTTTCCTTAGGTTTATCAACCAGATCCCAAGTCTTATTCTTGTATAAGGAGTCCATTTCCTCCTCCATGGCAGCTAACCATTTCTTACTATCATTTGATTTTATAGCTTCATAATAAGAGTAAGGTTCAGTCTTAGTTTCATCTTGATAGGTGAAATAGGAAGCAAATTCATCAGTATTGTATCTAGCAGGTGGCCTAATTTGTCTCCTTTCCCTATCCCGAGTTAATTGGTATCCATCAGGAGGTAAATCTGTGATATCAACAGGTTCAGTCTCTCTCTGCTCAATATCATTTTCATTCAGATTTGAATCAGCATTTTCAGCTTCTAATGGTACATCATTGTTATTTCCAAATTTAATAGGCTCCACCTCAATCTGAGCATTATTATCAGAAACATTTCTTTGATTTCCTTCTAAACATGGCATGCAAGACTCATTAAAAACAACACCTCTTCTTATAATGACCCTATAACCTTTCTCACTATGTACCCACAGTCTATATCCATTGACATTTTCAGCATATCCCAAAAACACACATTTTAGAGACCTAGGCTCAAGTTTCCCTATATTTTGATGTGCATATGCAGCACAACCAAAAGTTTTCAAATATGAGTAAATCACAGGTTTTTGAGACCACACAGATTCAGGCACATTATAATTCAAAGAACTTGTAGGACTTCTATTAATTAAATAAGCAGCAGTTTTTACAGCCTCCCCCCAAAATAATTTTGGTAGTCCTGAGCTTAAAAGCATGCATCTGACCTTATTTAATAATGTCCTATTCATCCTTTCAGCAGTGCCATTTTGTTGAGGTGTATAGGTGATAGTTTTATGCCTTAAAATGCCATGTTCTTTACAGAAATTATCAAAGTCATAATTGCAAAACTCTAGCCCATTGTCTGGTCTTAATGTTTTGATTTTTAAATCAGTTTGATTTTCAATTTGGGTTTTCCAATCTCTAAAAACAATAAAAGTTTCATCTTTAGTTTTCAAAAGAAAAACCCATATTTTCTTTGAAAAATCATCCACAATCAGCAAGTAATATTTAAACCCAGACAAGGTAGATATAGAAGCTGGCCCCCACAAATCAGCATGAACATGCTCAAGAATTTTCTTTGATTTAAAGGTACTCAGTGAGAATGGGAGTTTAGTTTGTTTGCCAATCAAACACTCTTCACAATTTGAAATTTCACCAATGTTTGATTTTCCAAAAACACCTTTAGCTTTAAGAGCATTCAAACCTTTTGTACCAATGTGACCAAGTCTACCATGCCATAATTTTGCTAGATTAAAATCATCATTTAAAACTGCATTAGACAGACCCATAAGAGGTTTAGCATTTAAGAAGTATAGACCATGTCTCTTTGGGATAGAAGTGACTAAATCACTTCCCCTAAAGATTTTTATTTGTCCTTGACCCAATTTTATGTCAAACTCCATATCATCTAACATTCCTAAGGAAATTAAGTTTCTTTCTAAATCTGGTACAAATCTAGTATTTTCTAAAAGTAAGATTCTGCCATTTTCTAAAAGAAGTTTTATGGTTCCAATGCCTTTAACTTTGCAAGTCATGTTGTTCCCCATGACAACTTGTCCTCCATTAGACTTTTCAAAATTTAGAAAGTAGTTTTTCTTAGGACACATGTGGAAAGAACATCCTAAATCTAGAATCCACTCTTGATTTAAGTTTCTTTCAACATTAACAAGGACTAAACCATTGTCAGATTGAAGTGTGTCGTATGACATAACAGTATTTCCTTCACTGACTTTCTTCTCTTTAGAATCATTCTGTTTTTTATAGCAATCCTTAGCAAAATGACCTAGTTTACCACAATAATAGCACTTTTTACCTTTTGCCTTATTCTGAGATCTAGCTTTATCAAAAAACTTCTTTTTAGGTTCATTAGAAAATTTTGAATGAAAGTTTGATCTGCCAACAATTTTACTTTTTATCAGTAAGTTTTCACCATATTGTTTATTGGTAGACTCAGATTTCAGTTCAAGTACCCTATTTCTTAAAGCAGTTATTATAATATCAGTGGTAAGTTTATCCCTACCATACTCTAAGGCATTTTTAAGGTCTTTGTGTCTGTCACTAATGGAGTTCAACAATACCACAGCCAACTGATCTCCTGATAATTCTTCATCACAGTTGGTGAGGTCTTGGGTCAGTTTTGTAAACCTATCAAGATTTTCTTCCAAATCTACTGAAGGATCCATTTTAAATGAGAAAAACTGTTTTAGTAGAAAACATTTGTTTGGGACAGTTTTTGGTTCATATTTAGCCTTCAACCTAGTCCATAAGTCTTCTGCAGTTTTAGTTTCTCCTATAGACCTGATCACATTGTCAGAAAGGTATAGGAAGATAGTACTCCAGGCTATTTCTTCCAATTCAGTTCTCTTATCTTCTTCAATACCAGTGGGCCATGAATTATCAAGAGCTTTAGCACATTTTAATTGCATCAATATAGCTCTCATTTTCTGACTTCACATACTAAAGTCTCCCCTCCCATCATACAGTTTCAATTCAAACTTAGCAGTAGTCATACTGAGTATAACACTTAGTTAATACACAATATACAGTACTAATGTTCAAGAAACACACAGGAACATACACAGTTGGAGACAACAGCAAACTCAAACTCTTTTTAGTGCCAATCTAACAATACACTTTAAACAAATTTCTCAAGACAATAAACAGTTAATACTTATTACAGGAGGCAGTATTGAAACTGAACAGAGATTTCAAAAACACTGTGCCTCGACTGACTTTTCCTACAAAATCTTCCAATTGTACTACTCATAGTGTTGTTATCTCAGATTCCCAAGACTTCAAGAGTCTTTGGACAAAGACCAATCACTGGAGTTTTAATAGTACAAGGTAAATTAAGGGAAAAATTCAGGAGTCAAGCAATATGAAATTACTAATTTCAAGATACAGGAAAGATCTCACCAAAGAGTTCGTTAGAACTCAGATTCCTCCAATAACTGAGTTGACTGTCATTTGAAGCAGGTTTTAGAAATCCAGATTAATCGAGAAGTAACAATGCTCTGATACCACTGTTAATCAACGAAGTCATTCACGATTAAACCAAAATTTACATAAACCATTCAAAACAGAAATTTAAATGCAGAAAGTAAAGTGTAAACACAAGGATTTTTTCGGCCGAAGCCCCAGAGGTTCAGCTTAAAGCCTAATCCCCTGTTGAGCATCCATTATAAAACGGATCTAGCTCGGTTGCACTAAAAACTCAAAATATGGAAGTCAAAATACAGAAATACAGATCACAAGATAGTCACAGAGCCTTATCTTTCTACACGAAGATGATTGGACTATTCTTCTCACAGGAATCACTCAGATCACTCAGATCTGTTACAAACCACTACCGAACTCAAGAATCACTCAGATTCTTAATACTAATCACTCAAAAAAGTTAAGCATTCATACAATCAGTAGTATTACAGTGAGATTACTGTATTTCCTCACTATTATCTCTCAAGGAACCATATCACAGAAGAGAAAACTTGAAGGGTTTTCAAGAAGGAGCGTATAAACTCAAAACCGGCAGAGAGAAACCCTTGAAGAAAAATGACGATTCAGCTGAGTGAGAATGAGTCCAATCAGAGTAAATAATATCAGAAGCATCCAGAAGCCTGATCCAACGGCCACCAACATTACACGTGTCATGATCCAGTATAATGTTGTTATTTAAAAAAGGAAAGAATTGTCAAACTTATTGAACACGCTTTTTGCTTTAAAAAACTGTGGAAGCAATATGACCAAAGGTCCAGGGTTCGAACCCAACAATGTGAATATGATCAACAGAAAGTCTGTAATGGAAAAGTAAAGAACAAAATCTGGGGAGAGAAATTGAAAAGAAATTCGGATACAAGTTCATGGATTCAATTCAATGCAGGCCGGTATGTGACAGATGGAGTGAATGCAGGGATGTCTGCGACCACGATAAACTGAAAAATTTAATAAACAAATTGGATGACCCAGTGCCATGGATTGGCGTGTATATTGCAGCAGCTTCTGTAGTCTGCTCCCTTGCAATGGCAGCTGACGCTTTCCACGGTTTTCGTAGTAAAGTGCTGTGGTTCCCATGTAAGTACTTCTCCTTCAATGCCATATCTTTGACACTATTAGCTGTCACATTGAAACTACCAATCGATCTTACTGCTAGTACGTTGGGGGTTAGTGAGATTCTTGCACGGGTTAGTAGCCTCGTTTTCATGTCAACTGCAATGGCAAATTTTATGACATCTTTGGGATCCATGGATGATAATGAGATGGTACTAAACCTAGCTGCTTTAGGTATTATGATAATTACAGTCATTGGCAATGCTTATATCCACCTTATTACAGTGTGTTATTTTGATGGTGCTCCCCAAATAATTTGTGAAGAAATTGTAGCAACGGGTTTTATCTTTATTTCACTTGTTATGTTTTGTTCCTCGTCTTTGACTGTTCTAACTACCACAAGATACATTGAATGCAAGTACCAAGAAATGTGCAAAATAGCTTTAGATGAAGAAAAACTGGACGGGCCAAAATTTCCAGTTGACAAATTGAGACTGGTGGTCAAAAAATATTGGGTGATGGCAGTGACAGGATGCCCCCAGTTTGTAATGGCACGTAGTGTGACTTGCACTGCTTCAGGTTTGATGTGTGTATTAGCAACCCTCACTTTAGTAGAAGCTCATATTCGGATACCAAAAGTATACCAAGGACGAGGCTATGGGTGCGGTACTTTTTCTGCCTATAAGTGGTCAACAAAATGGATCCTATACGTTCAGTCAATTGGAGTGGCATTGGGTACTATTGTCCCTGCATTCAGATGGTTTACTGCCGCCCAGTTAAAGTGTTCAGATATAGGCAGGAAAAGCTTCAAAAACGAGTTAAAAATCGAAACTTATTGGAATCAGAGACTTAAGGACTGCAGAGAAAGCTCATTACCATTACAAGTTCGACACCACAAGTGGAAAAAACTTCTTCATGCTGTAAGAAGACTATTTCTGAATTGCTGTCTTCGAGTACAGTATCTATTGGTTTGGGCGAGCAAACTTGTTCTGCTCATTTCTGCCTCATTCTTCCACCACATCAGGAAGCTGAAGATATTTGTCATTGGTGCTTCTGATGATACCAGAGGATCGGATTATGGTGGTGATGCCCAGTTGGACCTTACTCGTTATGTTCTTCAACTTCAAGGAGAGCCTGGAATTCCCGAAAGGACCCTCAAAAACATCTGGAATGAGGTGGACGGGATGACAGAGAAAGGGAAAAGACAGAAGCCGATCAACCTAATTGATCTTATACATAAATCTAACAACTTCAATGGGGTGAGAGAATTTGACAACAATCGAGTTCCAAGTTTACATTCTCAGGAGCCTCCTAATAGCTGGTCTCTACCTGTGGTGACTTTTGCATGCATCGCAATTGCACTTCCCAACATTTCAAACGACAATGCTAATCAGTTAGTGAGGTGTGTCGGGAAGGCCTTACCTTGTTAAAACTCATAGATAAAATCCTGGATAAAAATGGGGCTTTGGCAATCATCAGAAATGCTGCAGATGTTGTATGGGTAGGAGTTGATTTAAATTGCAAGTGGCAAGAGAAGGATCTCCGCAAATTAAGTCTCCACAGCAGAACCTCCAAGGAATCATTAGAAGAGCTTTCCAATTATGCTGAAAGGACGGTTAAGAGGTTCCTCGGAGAAGTAAACGATTTCCTAATGGATAAACCTCTGAATTGGCCTGTTAAAATTATAGCTGCAAACTCAATGTACAGGATCAGTCAAACTATTTTGATGGCCAGTGGCAATAATGAAACAGATGAGGGGTTGTTTGACCATTTATCCATTATGATTGCGGATATATTGGCAGCTTCCCTTACCAATTTACCACATGTCATAACTACTATATGCCACCATAATTCCCAAAAGGAAAGGCAAAAGAGTGTTCGTCAGGCTGCTTTCCTTCTTGGTGAAACAGAAGAAATTCTACAAATTCTTCAGCAGCGTGAGATATCAAGCTTGGATCCTAATAAACCAGCTTACATTGATGAGTTGCGTACTTTTATCGAGGAAGATAATGGGAATTCTCTAGCCTCAGTTCCGAGTATTGGAAGCGAAACTCAACAATCCAATAAAGAACTTGTAGCTATTGAACTTCACGGCTGAGTCAAGAACAGAAGCAAGTAGGCAAGAAAGTTACATAGGTTACGTCCAACCTCTGCATGATTATCCCATTCTCTCCCTCCTATGATTAGCATTTTGCAATTATCTCATTTTATTGTTGTGATGTTCTTCTTGCATTGTCCCTCAGTTGTTATAGAGTGTTAACATTATCCATTCTGGATTATCTTCCAAGGATGAGTTTATCACTCCCATTTGCACTTTTTATCCATGATATGGATTTCTCTCAGACCTCTTCGAGCTGTAATAAGACTGATGGTTGTTTCTTTTTCCTATCTATATTCTTCTTAGAAAATGAAAAAGTACTCTTTTATATTTCGTACATGACACAAAAATCTCTAGATTGCCTGCTTGCATGAACATAGGCTAGTAAGATTATATAAATGATCAAGATAGATGATGAAAAAAAACTATATCATAATATAAACCGAACTAATATATTGATCACAAACCTCAAAAGATATAAATGATCAAGATAGATGATGAAAAAAAAACTATATGATATAAACCTAACTAATATATTGATCACAAACCTCAAAAGAGTCCAGTTCAATTTTCCTAGCAGTGTTTCAACGTCCTTGGTGTAATCCCCTAATTACATTGCTTTGGACTTTGTTGCCACTACATTAAAATAAATAAACACGAATCTTATAAAAATATAGGACAAACTATATTACAATACAAAAAATTGACGATTATTCTTCGTCATCAAATTTGAATGTTCTCTTGAAAATGTTATTGTAATTATCTGTCAGAAATAAACTAAAATGGGAAACTGAATGTTTACCACCTATTCCTACGCTTTAAATATTGTAGATAAGGTAAGTATCATTAACATAGTTAGAAATGCTCCTAATGACATTTGTCCAAGCTCAACCCTACTCGAGCCAAATGCATGACAATGCAATGTAGACTATAGGGCACAAACGGGCAATGTTGGTACACAAGTATATTGTAGTTTACAAGCTTGAAATACTCGATGAAGATTGCTAATTTAAGATAATAATCGTGATCAAGTAGGATAATTGAGATTTAATCTAATTAATCACGTCATGATATATTAATGCTAAACGTTTGAAATTTAGGGTTGGAAAATGGTTAATCGCCGATTTTTTAGCATTTTTTCATTTTAGTCACGAACCTTTTTTTGTTCCTAGTTTGTCATTAAACTTTAATTTTTATATAAGTTAAGTTTCGTCTCCCAACTAATGGAAAAGTGTATTTTTGGACGTTGTTCTTTCTTTTTACATTTTCCTTCTATTTTTTTAGTCCCTTATAGAAAGCCTTTCTAATTCTATAGCACAACATAGAAATCAATTGGGTAACTGAGAAAGAAAAATATAGGACAAACTAATAGTGCAAAGATACCACCCATATTATACTACGAGTTTTACTATTCGTACGCCTCCTTTGATCAACACACATGAAAATAATAATAATAATAATTTGACAAAAATTGAAAAAATCACTTGAAAGGATTTTTTTTATTTATTTTTTTTTTTTTTATCTGTATGTACATGTAGCACATCTCTAATACTTTAGCATAAATGTAATCAACGGTCACTAAACTTCTAAAAAAGTTTAATTAGATTACTAAATTTTTATTTGTCTCAATTGATCAATGAGCTTCAATTTAATTTCGACTAAATCGCTAAAGTGCAATTTTATTTCAATTTTCATGACTCAGTCATATGTCGTGTCTCTAAATTGATAAGAGTTGATAATTGGTAGTCTAATCATCACATAATGTTGCATGTTAAAAAATACAGACAGTTTTTAATTTTTTTTAAACTAAAAACATTGTCATAACGCTCTTTTTACCATAACATTGACATTTGCCAACAACTTTTCTGTAAGAACCCAATAGATATACCTAGCAAAAGTCAAGGAACACTTAAAAAGGAATGAAGAGACAATGGTTCGAACATTAAGAGGAAATAGAAAAATTCAAATAATGAGGTACTCAACCCTATGGTCAGTAGATTTGGAAGGAACTGTTGTGATTCTCCGATCACGAGAAGAGAATAAAAGAGGAAAAATAATTCTATTTCTACTTGAATAGATTTACAACGAAGTTTACAAACTTGAAAAAAAAAAAAAAAAAAAACCTTTTAAAAGAGTCTCTCTAATCTCTCTTTTTTTCTCTTCTATACACTCTATTTTTCTTCCTCTCAAATGATATTTCCCTCTCTCTTGGGGCATTTAAAATTCTTTTTGTGACATCGCTTATTTATAGAGGAATTAAGCTACAAACTGCCTCAATTTTATGGCCAGAATTCCGCCATTTAGGTGCTTAATGGACAGTCAAAATTTGTGGGCTGCCTTCTTCATGAAGTAATTAAAATTGTGGCTATGTTCATGCATTAAGGAAGGTTTTAGTTGTCAACCAATCAAGAACTGCGATTGGAGAATTTCATTTCAAATTATCTTCTTGCATAGGTGTTTCTTCTCCATTAAGCAATTGAAGTTGTGGCTTATTTTCAATTATTTCAAAAGGAAGAAACTGATTAAAAAAACAGCTGGAATGCGGCTGGACTTATCAATTCTCCCCCTCCAGTCACATTTAAATCAATTATTATTTAACAACCATCCCAATTATGTCTCTGCATAGCTCTAACTTTTCTCTTGGAACCACGTTTGTTAACATATACGCTGGATTCTCATTTGTGTGAATCATCACTAGTTTCAACAGTTGATGATCCATCACTTCTCTTATCTAATGATAACGGATGTCGATGTGCTTTGTCCGAGAATGGTACATTGAATTCTTACTTAAGTCTAGAGCACTTTGACTGTCACAATGTATTTTATAATCCTTTTACTTGATCCCTAGTTCTTGGAGAAATCGCTTTAACCACAACATTTCTTTACCAACTTCTGTTGCTGTACTATATTCTGCTTCTATTGTAAATAAAGCAGCACACTTTTGTAGTCTTGACTGCCATGAAATAGCTCCCCTACAAAAGTGTAGAGAAATTCTGAAGTAGATTTTCTACTGTCAAGATCTCCCGCCATATCTAAATTTGTATAACCTTTCAAGATTGGATCAACTTCCCCATAGCACAGACATATATTTGATGTACCTTTGAGATACCTGAGAATCCACTTGACAGCCTCCCAATGCTCTCTTCTAGGATTAGAGAAAAATGACTCACCATGCCCACTGCATAAGCAATATCTGGTCTTGTGCATACCATAGCATACATCAGGCTTCCAACTGCTGAAGAATAAGGTACCGATGACATCTCCTCTATCTCTTTCTCAGATGAGGGGTATGAATTCTTGCTCAATTTGAAGTGGTTGGCCAATGGAATGCTGACAAGTTTGTCATTATACATGTTGAATCTCTTGATTACTCGTTCAACATACTTTTCTTGAAATAGCCACAACCTTTTATTCTTCCTATCTCGAGTTATGCGCATTCCCAAAATCTGTTGAGCTGGGCCTAAGTCCTTCATGTCAAAGGACTTGGAGAGTTCCTTTTTCAACTGGCTGATTTTTGTTGCATCTTGTCCAACGATCAACATGTCGTCTACATACAATAGAAGAACAATGAAATTGCCATTGGAAACCTCTGAATGTAAACACATTGATCTGCAACGATTCTTTTGTAGCCTTGGTCACCATGAACAAGTCAAACTTTTTGTACCACTGCCTTGGTGCTTGCTTAAGGCCATACAAGCTTTTTTTCAATTTGCAAACGAAGTTCTCTTGAAACTTCAAAATCTTCTGATTGCTCCATATAAATTTCTTCATATAAATCACCATGAAGAAATGTTGTTTTGAAATCCATCTGTTCAAGCTCTAGATTCAGACTGGCTACTACTCTAAGGATAACTCGAATTGAGGCCATTTTTACAATAGTTGAAAAAATCTCGTCAAAGTCAATTCCGTTCTAGTAAAGAAATCCCTTAACTACCAAACGGGCTCTATGTTTTACCACCTTTTCGCTGCCATCTTTCTTGAGCTTAAAAACTCATTTATTCTTTAATGTCTTCTTTCCCTTTGTTTGATTCTTCTTCAGTGACTCCATCTCATCCTGCATTGCCTGTATCCACTTGTCTTTGTCCACAGGAGTTTGTGCTTCCTGGAAGCTCTCCGGCTCTCCTTCGTCAATGAGCAAAAGGTACTCTGATTTTGAATGTCTCGTTGATGGAATTTGTCCTCGTTCAGATCTTCTTACCTGTGGATCTTTGATTTCAGGAGGTGCATCATCATCTGGCTGAAGTAATGGTCTGACAATTTCTGGTGAAGAGGATTGTGACTCCCCCTGATCAATATCCTCTTCTTCATCCTCCTGTTCTGCTTCCGGCATTTTCTCATGCACATCGTCATTATCTATGGTAAATTGTGCTGGTGCTGGATCTGGAGCAATATTTTGGGCACCAAAATTAGAATTAGGAGATATTGTGGGCTTTTCAATGTCTTCCAATGTCTGGATTTCATGGAACACTACGTCCCTGCTTCTGATGACCTTCTTTGTCTTTGGGTCCCATAATCTGTATCCAAATTCCTCATCTCCATAGCCTATAAAGATGCATGGAATGGTCCTTGCATCTAGCTTTTGTCTTAGTTCCTTGGATACATGTGCAAAGGGTAAACAGCCAAATACTCTTAGGTGAGAGTAGGAGGGATATTTACCAGATCATACTTTCTCCGAAATTTCAAAATTCAACGGTACTGATGGTGATCTGTTGATCAAGTAACAGGCGGTTCGAACAGCTTCTCCCCAAAATGGCTTTGGTAGCTTAGCCATACTTATCATGCTTTTGACCTTTTCCATGATTGTCCAATTCATCCTCTCGGTGACTCCATTATGCTATGGGGTGCGTGAGACCGTCTTCTTATGTCGAATGTCGTATCTTCTACAATAGGCATCAAACTCTTTGGAAGTGTACTCGCATCCATTATCTGTGCGGAGACACTTCAGTTTTTTTCTAGTTTCATGCTCTACTATGGCATGAAACGATTTGAAGTAATCCAATACTTGGTCCTTTGTATTCAAGAAATATACACACACCTTTCGAGAAGCATCATCAATGAATTTTAGAAAATATTTGTTACCGCCTAGCGATTTAACCTCCAAGGGACCACAAATATCAGCAACTTTGGTCGTCTTGTCGAAGAGAAATTGAAAGAGACTCTATGTTGCTTACCAAATAGACAATGACTGCAAGGATCCAGCACAGCTTCCTTTGAAACCGTGATTAGCTCCTTCTTTGTCAAAGTAGACAATCCCTTCTCATTCATGTGACCAAGTCTCTGGTGCCACAAATTTTGAGAAGCTTCACGTTCTACTATGTTGAGGCTATCCATATGCATTTTCATATGAGTCTTGTATAAAGTGCCACATATATGTCCTCGAGCGACAACCATGGAGCCTTTCATCATTTTCCATGTGTCATTGCTAAATTGATTGACATAGCCCTGTTTGTCAAGGGCTATCCATGAAAGTAGATTTAGCCGAAGATCAAGTACATGTTGAACATCCTTCAGGGTTATTTTACACTCGAGGTTCGTTTGTATCTGAACATCACCAATTCCCACGATCTTAGAAGAACTGGTATTTCTCATCTTCACTGCACCAAAGTCGTCGGCATTGTATGTTGTGAAGAAATCTCTGCGTGGAGTGGCGTGGTAAGATGCTACAGTGTCTATTATCCACTCAATATCTTGTTTGAGACATGAAGACATGTCTCCTCATGGATGAAGTAGATAGCTACCTCCCCAGAAATAGTATTAGTGTCTCTCCTTCCTTATTTTTCAGCTGCGAACTGTTGTGGCCTTGCTCTCGTAGCAATTTTCTGCAGTTCTTCTTCAAGTAGCCCTCCATACCACAATAGTAGCACTTGTAAATAGGCTTCCTTCTATCTATGGATCTACCCCTACTTTTGCTTCTGCCTCTTCCCCTGCCTTGAACGCATCCTTGCTGTCTTCCTCGATTCACTGTGACAAGGGCATGTGATTGGTCCATTTCTACGTCTTTTCTCCTGGCCTCTTCATTAAATAGGGAATCCTTGACCATAGATATGGTAAGTTTGCCATCGGGGACTGAGTTGTTAAGAGATACTACTAATGTCTCCCAACTATCAGGAAGAGAACTTAAAAGTAGTAAGGCTTGTATTTCATCCCCAAGCGGCATCTCCACAAATGACAATTGGTTTACTAATCTCTGAAATTTACTGGTGTGCTCAGCAACTGAAGTTCCACTCTTTAACTTCAGATTCACCAAACGTCTCATCAACAGGGCTTTGTTCCGAGCGGTATTGGCTTGGTACATGTCCTCCAGAATCTTCCAGAGGGCATATGTATCTGTCTTCTGTGCCACATGGTGAAAGACACTATGGTCAATCCATTGTCGAATTTGACTGATAGTTTTCCTATTTAGCTTCTTCCACTCTGCCTCCTTGGTAGGGTCAAGGTTTTCACCTTTAGCTTCCGGGGGGTCATACAAATCCTTACAACTGAAGAGGTCTTCCATCCGAGGCCTCCACTGTGTGTAATTGGTGGCAGTGAGCTTGATCATAGCTCCTGATAAAGATTCATCTATTGACATCTTGGCTTGCAAAAGATTTATAAAAAAAACGAAGTTGTATCAAAAAACTACAAGGGCCAATTGATAAACATGGTGTACCTGGACCGCCCGGATCCCACGAGTGAATCGAAAGTTGGATCTACATTGGATCTCACCAGAACGCACCGTTCTTATAGAGATAAACGCGCTTTTACATCTTCTTAACCCGAAATGAAATGGCTGGGACGGGGAGATAGAAATGAGAACTCCAACAATTTCTTCGTTTTCAACGCCTCCTAATTTCCAGGAATTAGTCACTTCAACAACCTTCGATACCAAATCATGAATTAGTAACTGCATCCAATTTCCAAAAAAAAAATCCAAATTGTGTCGAACTTTCCATTTTTGGAATGGAATAGTATCAAGATCAAACCTTATTCCGTGGTATTTACATGCCTAATCCTCTGTATCTCATATGGGTTTCATAATTATAGGAATTGGTTCTATCACCAATACAGGGCTCAATGGAGCCCCAACATCTTGCTTCGAACATAGGAGTTGCTAAGAGTAAAATTTGGGAAAAAGAACCGATTGTATGGGAAATACTTCAGACACCACTTATTGTGATTCTCCGATCACGAGAAGAGAATAAAAGAAGAAAAACAATTCTATTTCTACTTGAATAGAATTTACAACGAAGTTTACAAACTCGAAAAAAAACCTCTCAAAAGAGTTTCTCTAATCTCTCTTTTTTTTTCTCTTCCATACACTCTATTTTTCTTTCTCTCAAAGGATATTTCCCTCTCTCTTGGGGCATCTAAAATTCCTCAATTTTATGGCTAGAAATATGCCATTTAGATGCTTAATAGATAGTCAAAATTTGTGGGTTGCCTTCTTCATGAAGTAATTAAAATTGTGGCTATGTTCATACATTAAGGAAGGTTCTAGTTGTCAACCAATCAAGAATTGCTGCTGGAGAATTTCATTTCAAATTGTCTTCTTGCATAGGTGTTTCTTCTCCATTAAGCAATTGAAGTTTTGGCTTATTTTCAGTTACTTCAAAAGGAAGAAACTGATTTAAAAACCAGCTAGAATTGTAGCTAGAATATGGCTGGACTTATCAGGAACGTATGTAGTAATGAAAACAGGGTGGGAGGGGATAGGGCGGCCATTACCATTCTTGGCCCATTGGGAATTTTTAGGAGGTGAGGCAGCGATTTAAAGATTCTCAGTAACCGTTTCGTTTAATTAATATTTTTTCTAATATTACTTTTTATTTTTTAATTAAAGAGTTTAAAGTGAAAAATTCAAAAATAAAATTAAAAGATTCGACTCTAGTTTGAAAATTTGAGGGCAAGGACCATGCTCCGCCCCATCTTGTTTACCATTCGGGACG